CATTGCAATTTGAATTGTCTCCAGGTCGAAGAATCACAATATTAGGTTGTGAAACTTTATATCCTATTTTTACTTGTTGTGTGATTTTACTAAGAAGATTATTTGCACTCCAATCTTCTAATTAAGTATTCAGGAAATATTAAAAAGTTTTTTTAAATTTTAGAAGCAGATTATTAGTAAATATCGATGTACCAAAAATGTCTTGACTTGCAGGTTTGATATCATTAGAAACGTGACAAAAATCAGTTAATTTTTAGAGAGGGAGAGAAATAAAAAATTTAAAATTATATATAAAAACTTGATCAAGATATATAGTAAAAGGGGAGGTGGTAAACTTCTGATAAAAAAAATCAGATGATAAATAATACTGCCTTTATTGTTCGTGAAGTTAAAGAACTTTTGAATTGGTAAGACAAATTGGAAAACTATCTTTAAAGTAGTATAAGCAGAATTACGTGAAATATCGAATATATTATTATATGCAAATATCTTTTCAAAAAAATTAATATTATCTATCACCATGACATTCTATATGCTTTTACCTGTATTTGTATATTTCTATAATTTACTTTCTGGATACGCTTCTTTTATTTAATTTTTTTCTAATTGTTGTTTATATCTTTATGTATATGATACAATATTGGCTATATACAAAATGCTATATAAGGAAAATAATAATTTTGGTTTGTGGCATTAAATATGTCAATCATATATTTGTACCAGGGAATATTATATTTAATATAATTAACATAAAAAATAATGATATTTTAGTTATCTAGATTATATCAAAGATCTTTTCTATCAGGCCTTTGGCTTCCTTTTTTTTATTACAACATCATGTTTCTTTCTAAATAAAATAACAAATAATCTTTTAAAAATTCAGATAAGAAGCTAAGAAATCTACTTTGATAATCTTTTAAAGAAGTTGGTTTTTCTAATTTCTTTTTATTTTTTTGTACTTCAGAACATGAATATTATATTATTATTGCAAATGCTTTTTCAACTTTGGTTGGTGTTTCTGTAATAAAATTATAGTTATTGTTATTGTTTTTAATTTTTTACAAGATTAGCATGATTCAATCTTAAAGCAGTTTTGATAAATAAAGGACTTGGTGAATTAGTAGTATTTAATTCTGTTGTATCATGCATCATTAGTATTATGCTTAAGTAAGATAAGACTGCTTTTTATATTCTTGATCTATAGATTCTGAAATATTTAATACTTATTGTCTCATAAGCTTAAGTGTTTCAGTAACATCATTATTATACTTATCTTTACATAAATAGGGTGGATTTATACCCCATTTATTTCTTTGAAAAAAATATCTACCCTCTAAATTAAAATATTCGGAATATATAAAGTATGGTCGATATTCATCAAACTTATTAACACTAAGATTATTCTCTTTTAACTTTTTGGATAAAAAAGCAGAGCAAACCTTTGAACCAACACAGAGTACTTGAATATTCTGGTTACTTATATGTATTGAGTGCTGAATACAAGTTTTTCCATAGCTAAAAAAAATTTTGTACTTGTTACAAAACAAACAATAATGATTATAAATTTAACTTTCTTTAATTGATTATAATTTTTTAAAATTTGAACTGTGAAGTGACTTCTGGTTAAATACAAAATAAGCATTGCAAATACCTAACGTATGTAATTTATTTTCATCTTTTAATTTTAAAACCATATCCTTATCTATTTTTCACGTTTCTACTAGTTGTATTGAAGGTCTTTGTCTTTCTGTATTATTTGAACAGCGTTAGATAGAACTATTAATCATATCCAAAAGAATACAAGATATCAGATCTTGATTTTGTGAATCCTTAATGAAGTATATATCTTTCTCTGGTTCTGGTTCTAGTATCAACACTAAATTAATATCATTATTTTTAGTTTTCATATCCAAATCCTCTCAGATAAGTTTTTCATCTTTATCCATATCAACCATTATATGGGTTTCTTCAAAACTAACTCCATTCTATACAAAAGATCATATTTCGATTGTACAATTACTTGTAATACTCTCAGTTCCAAAATGTTTAGATACCAAACTTTTACTAAAAAAACTTGTACTATTATTGTCTATAATATCATTATCTTCATTATGATTAACGTATTCATAATTTCTATTAATAAAATTCAAAAAAAAGTCTCTTCTTCTACAGTCTAGGGCTTTACAAATTTTAATGTTACAAATCTAACTTCAATCTTAGAAGCATTTTGATGTTCTAATTTATTGTTATGAGTTTTAGAGTAAGCTTAAATTTGTTGTAAAAGTGATAGATACTAGAACCAATAAATACAAAAGATGACAGATATTAATATAAATACAGTACAAGAATGACAGAAAGAAACATAGGCTCAGATTTAATGATAATGAAAAGTTATTTTTTTTAAGCTTACTAATTGGAATACTAACAGATAATTAATAATATATTATTATCCCATATACTTCAGCTGTAAATTTCGAAACAAAATTAGTATTTTATGATTACAAAGTTTGTATTTCTGGTGATAAAAAAAAAAAACACTTTTGAGACATCTCAAAGTTTAAATAATTCATTTTTAGAAGTATTTCTTAGACAAATATCATAATAAAAGGTCAAACCTAATAAATAATGACCAGATATGCTTAATACTCATTTTGAGAGATAAACCTATTTTCATTTCATTTCATTTCATACATATATAAATTTTGTATATTTATAATATATTATAAATTATTCATATAATAAATCATATGATATATCTGCTAATTGTATTCATAAATTTAAAGTTTTTTTTATATTCTAGCAACTATTAAAAAACATAAAACAAATAATTAAAAAATAATGAACCTAAACAATATTTTTATTTAGAGTAATAAGAGAGAGTGATATATATTCTAGGTTACTATTGTTTAAATAAATTTTAATTGACTAAGAAAAAAGTGATGAATCTTGTATAATCATCATATAAATTGACAATTGTCTATAAATTAACAGACATAACCTGTGACCGTTAAATGAAAATTGTAATATTTATTCTGTTAATACTATTAGATTTTCTAAACCATGTTATAGCAGAGGTGATTTAAGTTAAAAAATATCTAAAAGTTCTAGACATAGTATTAAAAAATAATTTTTTTAATATATTTAATTTATATTATATACTGTATTTACTTAACTATTAATTATATGTATATAATATTTGTAAAAAAAATAAATATATTAAATAATAAAAAATTAAAAAATTATTTTTTAATTATATATCAGGAATAAATAAAAATAAAATATCTATATAATATTACAAATATTGCTATTTATTTTAATTATACCAATATTTATTTTTAATATTATCTAATAAAAAACAGATTTACAAAAAAGTAAATATCAGGATATTAAAAGAATTCTTTAGTTTACTGCTATTTGTCTTTATATATACTGTTTTCATCTTTTATTTTGTTATAATCTACAGCAAAACAAATAAATATTAGAATATTAAGAAAAACCTTTTAGTTAACTGATATTTGTCTTTGCATGTACTATTATTTACCTTTTATATTATTACAGTCACTAATATTGGTAGCAAAATAGATATAATAAAAGATACCTGTTATTTAGCCAATATTCATTTTGCATATTCTTGATATTTATCTTTCATGCTGCCAAATACATATAGCAACCAGGTATATAATTATCAAATAAAGGGTAAATATCAGGATATTAATAGATCTCCTTTATTTATTTTTTATTTTGTACTAGTATTCATCCTTTATGTTATCATAGATCTGCTAAATAACTGTAGCAAATCAGGTTAAGTAAAGATATATAAAAAATAGATATTAGGGCATAAGTAGATACTCTTTATTTAGCTAATATTTATTTTGTATTTACCAAGATTTATTTTTTATATTTCTAATATATGCAACAAAACAGATATATAATTATTATATAAAAAATTGATATCGAGATATTAATAGATACTCTTTATTTATCTAATATTTATTTTTTATATTAAACTGATATTTATTTTTTACAGTATTATAGATCTGCCAAATAACTATAACAAACCAGATTAAGAGTGAATACATAAAGGATAGATATCAGGATGATAAAGAGACCCCACTCCATTATATTATTCTTTATATATTTATTGAACCTGTGTATATTAAAGCAATTACTATATTATATATCTAATAAAAATATACAGAGTATAACCTTACTTTAATACCAAAAATATATATATATATAATAATTGAAAATATACAATAAAATTAATAATAAAAAAATTATTTTTAAAAAAAAAAAATTTCTTGCAAAATCTATAAACAATGCTTTTGCTTTATTCCAAATACTATTCTAACTCTAACTATAAAAAATATTACTTTTTGTTATTTTGTTATTATTATATATTAAAAATTATAGGTAATAATTGGTTTAGATTACAAATAAACTAGTCTGAGTTTTTTTTCTTTTATCTTAAAATATTAAGTTTAAATATAATTTTTTTCTTTGTAAAAAAGTTTAATTAAATTTTAATAAAGACAAAAACATGGTCTTACAGTATCATAATCTAAAAAAACATATATATAAGCATACTTTTTTATAAACACAATTTTTTAAAAAATTACTATAGTTTCAACTATATAACTATATATTATACAGTATACAGTAATCGATTATACTGTACTTTAGTAACTGTTATCTTCGGCAACATGTACTTTTTTTTTTAAAATACTTATATTTACTATATACTAAAATAGTAAAATATTGCATTAAGACTATTTTTATATTTTAAAATAGTTTATTAAACCTGCACTTCTGCATTTAGAAAAATAAAATCAAAGGTTATATTTTAGCGAGATAGTCACATGAAATGCAAATTTGCTAATCGTGATACAAATTGTTACCAGAATAGAATTCGTACCACCGAAATTACGTATTTGATTATAATACTTGATACAGGGGAAAAACCATCAATTATTGTCGCCAGAGCAAATATCATTTGATCAATGGATCCAAGCTTATACCAGCAACAACGCCAACAACAGAACCGTGTTCCTTATCCATTCACCGGAAACCCTCAAGCAGGATTAGCTAATGTGATGGGTGCTGGTACGTATCCTCAACAATACATGACAAATATAACAAACAACCCAGGATACGTACAATCAAATACTGGCATCAATCCCATGATGTCCATTTCTGGTCGCCCGGTATACCCCGTACCAGTTGCCTCTTTGACTTCCATGACAACTAACGGTATGCCCGCTGCAAAACGAGTGGCTCTTGCACCAACACCACCAATGCAAAGCATATTTTCAAATATTGCACAAACCCCCGGCCAGAATCAGCTCTACACAGCTGGTGGTGGGTTTTCTAATCAGCAAATGATAAGTTCAGGAAGGCCAACAGTTCCTGCCCAGTCATTTGTAAATACTGATAATCAAAATATGGACGGAAAATCTTCAACATCGATGCACACGAATGCGTATGCAGCATCGATACAAAGTATAGATAAACATTATGGACAATTTCAACAACAAACACCACCTAAGGCCAACACAATAGGAAATTTCAATAGCTTATTGAACCAAACGAAGACTACTCATCCTCAACAACAAAATCAAGCAATATCGAATCCTTTTATGCAAGATGATGGTCAAACGAATTGGTTGGAATTTGATGAAGAAGATTTCGTTTATGATTTTAGTTGTCCAACGGAGTTTTCTAACTCTTCTAGTGGCATTTGCGGAAACATATGGAATTCCAATTCGCCGCAAAGCAATTTGAATTATTCGTCACAAAATTCGTCAAAATCATATCCGTCAATTAACCAAAGTGGCCTTCAGCGATCCCCACAACAGCAACAGCACGATAATCAAGTACAGCAGCAACAGGTGACCGAACGGCCTCAACAACGACAGCAAACTCCACAAACGCTACAGATATCATCACAAGCACATCAACATCAGCAACAGCCATCTCATCGGGAAGACACTGGATACAGTTTTTCTACTCACCCATCTCTTTCGGTTCAACCTAGTAGCATTTCTCAGAATTTGTCACCCAAAAGTGTTCAGCATAGTACGATGAGAATGCTTCCACGCTCCCCTAACCCTGCTATACCCGATTCCAATACACAGTCGTCAATATACGGTAATCAGAGTCAACCTGTTAACCCTACGAATTTAAGCCAAACGCAGGCTACAACGCAGATCGGACAATATTCTAAAATAAATCCTAAAGATCATTTAATTTCGAATACTACCATTACGGGTTTTCCTCAGTCGTCGACACAGTCTACAATATCAACAGAATTGTCGTCAACAACTAGCATTCATAATACTGTACTTGATCCTTATAAACAGTCATCACAAACAACAAATGATACTACATCATTAACATCAATGAAACCTAATCCTTTAATTGGTCATTTGGAATCTATGCAACGAATAACATCACAAGAAAATGCAAATGATTCTTCAATATTGCCCACAATAGAAAATCAGAATTCATACACATCAAATATACAAATGACTGTTGGATCAAGAAATAGCTCATCAAATAGTCCCAAAAATATTAGTAATCATTCAGAGTCTACAAACTTTTCTAAACACCATCAAAACTCTCAAACATCCAACAACGAACTACTCACTCAATCGGTAAATAATAATAAACAGCATACATCAAGTCCCAATGTGACTGATGATATGTCACAAAATTTGCGGTTACCAGTTAGTAGTGGAATAGCTGGACGTAGAGCTGTTACCTCCCGTCAAGTATCACGACAATCCGAAAAAGCTCCTGCAGTCACTCACCCTACACCTACAACGTCAACGCAATCTTCTAGTTCAGCTTTACCAACACAACCTTCAAAACAAGGACCTGTTAAACCTCAGAAGGTAAATTATGCACCAAAAACTCGACGCGTCGACAGCTACGGTGGTCTAGATCTTAGAGTTTTTGAGAAGTTTTCATTACCTTTAAACATACCCGGAATTCAAGATCTAGGTAAGGATAAATTTGTCATTTATAAATGTATTAGAAATAAGCTTGACGTTCGTTTTTCTTGATATTAGGCGCAGTAGACGTACATGCACTTACGATGTCTCTGAAGTGCGGAATGAAACTTGAAGTTACAAGTGCTCTAAACACGTTAACAACACTCTCGTGTTACAAGAATTTAATAATAGATCTGAAACAGTGTGGGGATTTGATGGATATTTTGCTTGATATGATTTTAGAATATATAGATTCTGTATCTCCATCATGTAATGAGGAAACCACGGAAGAAAGCTCTATATCATCACGAAAATTTATAAAATACCAGAAATTATACCAATTATCCAGACAAGAATGTGATGAATTTGTGAACGTTGCAACGGACAATTCAAATATAGTAAACGAATGGTTATCATTACACGAGCAATGCTGGTGTATAACTAATTTGATAAGAAATTTTTCATTCATGTTCGAGAATCAAGAATGCCTAGCAACACACCCTAAATTATTAACCGTGCTAATGCGTGTCCTGTACATAGGTGAAGATGATGATTTCCTTCTTGGTGTCAATGAAAAAGTAAAAGCAGACAGAGATACTAAAGATAATCGAATCAGAATAACCCGTAAGAAAGCTTATGATATTCTAGAGTTACGAAAAAGCGTTATAATCATATTATCAAATATTGCGGCATACCTTACTTTACCATCAATTTATGTTGCAAGAGATCTTTTGGTCGTAATTGCAGATTTTTTAGACAACACAGATGATTATTATGCTCAAGTTGCGCTGGAAGTATTTGCAAAGATTTCCGTTTCATATGAGAATCGACAACGGATCGGTGGTTGTGATGAATCTACATTAACTACGGTTTTAGAACGATTGGTACGAATGTTGCCACAGGGTGGTGTGATCACGCGTCCGTCAATGCAAGAGCTGCCATATCTGGCAATGTTGGTGATGTCATTTTTTAATTTTGCGTGTTTGAGCGGGGAAGTAATGAGGAAAAAAATGATCTCCACTCCAGGATTTATAAATAGGATGCTTAAAATGTCGATAACATTAGCAAGTGTGCGGGATAATCGTATCGGAAATAATGATGATTGTATTATGCTAGCAAGGAGAACTATGGAAATGCTTAAAATATTGGCAAAAGGGAATGAAGAATGCTTTCTTGTATATACTGAACAATTATTGTTCGCATTATTAACTCCATATATAGATCCTATTGTGGTGAAGGATCTGGAAACTGTTATTTATCCCGGTGATATATGATTATGTGATGATCTGCACGGTTGTTATGGACTAGATCTTACAGAAATTTGTTTTATTCGAGAATTAGATTTATTTTTGTTTATAAATTTTACTTATTACACTTTGATTCTCTTACTCTGCGTATGTGCGATTGAATTAATCGACATTATCATGTGTAATTTTTAAGCTTTCTTTTTCCTTTTTGTCTATTTTTGGTCTTTTTGTATAATAACAAAAAAAGTTTCATTATTTACGTAGAAACTCTAAAACTCATGTGCTATTATAATTTTTTTTTTTTTTTTGTATATTGATCGATTGTTGAGAATTTTTGCACGCGTTTGCGTTTCTAAGCGTTTTAATTTTCAGATGGTATTAAAAATTCCCGGGTTTTCAATCGTGAATTTTGGATTGACAAGCACAAGCAAAGACGCCAGTAAGGCCGTTTGAAGTTAAAATTTCGTTTAACGTTATTTTTTTTCGCGCTTACACGGGGGTTAAACAAACAAAAATTAAACATAGTGTACCAGAAAGTCCCGAAAATATGCAGAAAAATTCCGGCGGCCACGCTGGCTATTATATCGATCAATCTGTCACAAAATCAATTTCAAATGGCCTAATTTACCTAACGTTAACCTAGTATTAATGTCGATTAACACTACTTCGCCTTGGATGTTCCCCGGAATAGTGAATTACTTTATCGTTATCGTCAAAATAGTTTTCTTTAAACAAACTTGGAATACAGCGAGCAAAACTTATATAAAGCAAGATTGCATAAAACAAAAACTATGGAATAGAAATTTTAAACGAAACGAAATACGTATATACGTATTTAGGACATCATAGAACAAAATTATAAAGACATTTTTTGGTGCACCCTGGATCAATATCTCAAAACTTTACTAAGATAACCTATCGTGTAATATAATAAAAAATGTTCCTTTCGCCTAACCCTAACTCTAATTCTTACGGTGTAAAACATCTAAAAACATAGTTTTAGATATGTTCTACAAAGCTACGATTTTTTTTTTGCGGAGATACGATTTTTTTTTTTTTTTTTTTTTTTTTTT